GATGGACGTGCGGGGCTGAGCGCCGGGCTGCCCAGCAGGGCCGTCCGCCTCTCGCTGGGGCTTCCTTGCGGGAAAGCACGTCTGTCCCTTCCCACTGAGGCCCCGTGAGAAGTCAGAACATCGTCTGGCCCCGAGCAGCTCCCCGCACGTGCCCACACCCCACTCACGGTCGGACGGGGTCCTGTCCACGGGCAGGCGTTCGCTCTGGCCCTGCCTGGCCCAGGCAGACTCAGCCAGCATCGCCTGGAGACCCTCGTCGAGAAGGGCTCCCTTCAAACCTTGATGTCTGTCAGACCCAAACTGCTTCTCGTGTGGGACATCCCCGGTGTGATGTGGACCTGGCCTTTCCCAGATACGCTCATTCGTATCTGAGCTGGACGGCCATCTCAGACAAGACACTGAGTCGATTGATTTAGCAGGAAGAGGGTGTAGACGGTTCCAGCGTTAAGCTTCACGTAAAGTGCTTTTTTAATCTAAAAAAATTCACGAAAGCAATGCATACTTACAACAAATTAAAACATCTGCGAAAGGCACACGTCCTGAGTCCGACTTCCGGGAGGCTCTCCTGTGATCGGTTTGGCATCTGTCTGTCCAGGTACCGTCTGTGCCTGTGCCTGTGCCTGTGCGTGGAGGTGTGTGTCTGTGTGTGTGAGATATGTGTGTGGTCTTTTTCTCCACCAAAACACTGGCTTTGCCTTTCGGCCTGTTACTTTATTCTCTATCCGATGTTATACCACGGACACCAGCCGTTTCAGTGTGTGACGATCAGCGCCTTTTTCCGTATGACTCCAGTGTGCAAGTATCGTAGAAGTTGTAACTGTTTCCTGGTTTTTATTTTGCCAGCAAACATGGGTACCTCTGTTCACTGTTTCTGGAGGATAGCATCCTAAAAATGGGACTGCCAGCTCAAAAGAGGCTGCGCACCCTACAAGAACGAGCACACCGCATCCCACCAGCGGCTCACGAGAGGCCCTCGTCCCCTGGGTGACGGGGTGCTTCAGGCTCACTGTAGCCAGCCTGACGCAGAAGTCGGGATCTCTGACGTTTCCACGAGCAGTTCTGCCACTGTTAGGAAAGTTTGGGTGACTTTATCTTTCATCTTCCCTCCTCAAAAGTGAGCTTCGTGCCATGCTGCCAAACCGCTGCGTCTCACTCCTGTGGGTGCCGGGTGGCCCGTGCCCCTGAGCCGGGCTGTCTTTCTGGTCCAGCACGCTCCCGTGCCCAGCGTCTGGACCACGCCGGTCACACGGGGAGGGTCCCTCCCTGTGTGGTGTTTGGTGGCTGTCCCCTGTCCGTTTTCCCAGGCACTGTTTTCTCGTTGCTTTGTGGACACTCTTTATATGTTATGTACTATCCTGTGTCGTGTGTCCTGCGAAGATCATACTCCAGCCTGTCATTTGTCTTTCTAGGGTTCTCTTTTGTCGTTATCAGAGTAAACAAATGTGCATAAATCAAACAACCTCACAAGGCTCATGCCAGGAACAGTGGCCCTGCCCCGCCCTGCTGGGCCCTGCCCGGCCCTGTGTCGTGACCACAAGGCACAGAAAGTGCAGCTTGAACCCATGGTGACCGGGGCTGCCCTTCCTTTCCTGTGTAACTTTCCTTTATCCTGAAGTTGATCGCTTTTTTCATTTGCTTAGTTTTCTGGGAGCCTGGATTTTTTTTAATTGATGTATAGTTGATATATGATATTATATAAGATTCAGGTGTACAATTTTTAAAGGTTCTATTCCATTTAGAGTCACTGTAAACCACTGGCTCTGTTCCCCGTGTGTCTCTGTGCCTGCTTTTGCTTCAGCTCCAGGGCAGGCGGGCCAGAGGCTCCGCTCAGGCCGGGAAGACTCGCTCCTGTCCCCACGGCCCCAGCCGGGCCCCTGGGCCCCTCCCCTTGGCGGTCTCCTGGCGGGGGGGCCCTGCCTCGTCCCCAGACTCCACGTGTTCCTTCGTCCTTGGTTGTGCAGCTCCCCGAGCTTCCTGAGAAATCGCACACAGAATATGAGTTTTTTGAGTCTCTGGTAAATGTGTTTATTCCGGCTCCCACTTGGCAGAGAACAGGGTTGGGTCTAGAAGTCACTTCTCTTCACGACTTTCAGGTCTTCTCCTGCCCTGAGTAGCTGCTGCAGAATCTGACGCCACTCGCAAGGCTGGCCCTTGGTGCCCCCCGCCCCTCCCTGGCTCTGAAAGTTTCCCGGATCCCCCAGTGAAGGGCTGTGGGCCTTGGCCGTCTGGGGCCACGGCGAGCCCACGGCGCCCCCTCCGGGACACCAGGTCTCCTGATGGAGCTTCACGCCTTGAATCACCTGTCAGCGATCTTCCCCACTCTGTTCTGTCCACTCCTGGGCTTTGCATTGACTTGATGTCGGGCCTCCCGTCGTTTCATTTTCTCCCCTTTCTCTTCAGGTGCCTTCTTTCAGCACCTCCATTTTTATTTGAAGTTTCCTTTGCTGCCCTTGCAGGGTTCCAGGAAGAGCAGCTGCGAGCACAGGCCCGGGGGTGCTTTCTGCACCTGATCCCATCCTGTCTTGTCCTGTCCTGTCCCATCCCGTCCCGTCTTGTCCCATCCCGTCCTGTCCCATCCTGTCCTGTACCGTCCCATCCCATCCTGCTGCCACCACCACGTCCTGAGCATCCTGGGTGTCTGGATGTCTGCTTTCCCCGCCGGCTGCTGGACGTGGTGCCAGGACAAAGCAGTGTTGCTTCCAGACAGGCTGACCTCTGTGTGTGTGTCCCTGTGTCCCCTTGACTGTTAAACAGTTCGGGCTTACAACTGCACGAGGTGTTATGCTGTGACAGCCGTGGAGAGAACTAAAACGTCAGGAAAATCAGTGCAGGGGAGGTGAGGGACAGTGAAGAGCCAACCTGCGACTCATGGACGTGCTCCTGCCCGAGGAGGGGCAGGTGCTGGGGATGGGGCAGAATTTTTAGGTTGGGGGAGAGAGTGAATGGTCTTATCTGCCCCCGTCTGATGGCCTTTAGGGGAAGCGCCCCGGGGCCCCGGGAGCAGGCACCCCATCTGTGGAGACCCTCGGCATCCACGTGCTGTGAGCCGCGCCTCCCAACCCTTCTGTGCTCTGCTTCTAGCAGCCCCACCCCCTCAGGAGGCACAAGCAGTAGCTCTGGTCACTGGGCTCAGCTCCGGCGGGACCTCCAGTGCAGTCAGGGGCGAACTGGCGGGACGTGTGGCTGCACGGCCCTGCACATGGCAGTGTGACCGTGACCTTATCGCAGGCAGGTGGCAACCCGCCTGCATCCTCGGGAGCCGTCTGGGCGATGACGTTTCACAGATTTCAGGAAACGGGCTTATGAATGAACAGCCGGACAGTGGGCCACTGTGCTTCTGCGGTGGAGTCTGCGACTCACTCCAGCATGAGCTGTCCCCAGACTAGAGGCTGCCGCCCTCTCCATCACTGCCACCACGCAGGAGAAAGCCCCAGAACCGGCTGGGGAAGGGCCCACCCCAGCCCTGCGCCGGAAGGTCGAGCACCCGCCCATCAGTTAAATGCGCTGTCTCGGCCGCAGCCCCGTGTTTCCATGTTGCACTGGGCCCCGCACGAAGGGAGGGCCAGCAGCTGCAGCTGGCGCAGGGAGCGGTGAGTCCCTCACTGGGTCCTCTTTTGCAGGACAGGCACCTCTGAATTCACTAGGACCAGAGGGCAGGACAGACCCTTCGGTCTTTTGGAGTTTCCTGCCCAAGTGTTAGGGGGTGGGAGGGAGGGCAAGAAATAGGTAACTGAACAGAGTAATTTCAGACAGTGAAATGGCTGCTGTGTGGCACCAGAGGGTCAGGGTGGGGGCAGCCAGCTTGTGCCTCACGCAGCGGCTGAGGGAGGCCAGGGTGGGCCCTGGGGTGGATGGGGGCCAGGAGTGGATGGGGAGAGCGTGAGTCACACTAGGAGTCTGGGGTCCTTGGGCAGGGGACGTGGGAGGACAGACAAGGGGCAGAGTCTGACTGCCCTGCTGATGACCTGGTGGTATCGTCACTCAGCCAGGAACTTTGGACGTGAAATGGCCTGCAGGGCAGTCCCAGTGCACGGCTGGTCTGAGGCTGGCCCCTGGTGACCCTGTTGCCACCGCCCCACCCACACACCATCTCCTGATGCCACATGGCCCTGCTTCACCGCTTCCAGGCAGCCCCTGACGGGGCCCTTCCACAGGGGCCGGACCCTGCGCTGCCCTGGCTCCCAGGGGCGCCCTCTCCCCTCAGCCCGTGAACGGACCAGTGGTTGAGGAAGCCCCGTGTGGACTCGGCTGAGGTCTGGGTGGTGGGGGAAGAGCTGCTGTTGTCTTGATTATCAGTCTGGTGAGATTATAGCTTTTTTTTCTTCTTAAATAATAGCAAAGTAAGA